CACTAGTTGTTTTAACAAACAAGATAAGGAATTTATTCACAAATTTACACACTTGATTATTATCAGTAGCATATTTCAGGAAAATAAATCAGAATTCTTAAAGTCCGTAGTTTCAACGTATTGTCAAAAAGAGGAAATGTTCATAGACCTGATTAAATGTTCTAACAGAATACTGATAATTCCATTCTGTCTGCCAAGAATGGATGGAAAATAAGAATTAAGAAGGAAAAAACAAATCTGCAGGGAATTATAATTGCTTCAATTCTGAAAGGACATGACATTTAGAAAATCAATGTCTGATTAAAATAATAGAAAATGTGATTTTGTGCTATGCAAAAGTCAGGATGGATTTGATATGGTGCTACACAAATGTCTATATGGATTTGCTCTGGTACTACACAAAAGTATATATAGATTTGATATGATGCTACGCAAAAATCTGGATGGATTTTATATGGTGCTACCCAAAAGTCTATATGGATTAGATATGGCACTAAACAAAAGTCTGGATGGATTTGATATTGTGTTACAGAAAATTCGGGATGGATTTGATATGGTGCTACCGAAAATATATATGGATTTGATTTGGTGCTACGCAAAAGAGGTATGGATTTGATATGGTGCTACACAAAAACTATATGGATTTTATATAGTACTATGCAAAAGTCTAGAAGCACTTAATATAGTGCTATACAGCTGTCTATATGGATTTGATATGGTGCTACACAAAAGGCTGGATGCATTTTGATATGGTGCTAACCAAAAGTCTGGATGGATTTGATAAGGTGCTACACAAAAGGCTAGATGTATCTCATATGGTGTTACACAAAAGGCTAGATGGATTTGACATGGTGCTACACAAAAGGCTGTCTAGATTTGATATATAGCTACCCAAATGTCTGGATGGATTTCATATGGTGCTTCACAAAAGGCTGAAAGGATTTGATATATTGCTACCCAAAAGCGGTATGGATTGATACGGTGCTACAAAAAATCTATATGGATTTTATATAGTGCTATGCAAAAGTCTGGATGGATCTGATATGGTGCTATACAAAAGGCTAGATGTATTTCATATGGTGCTACACAAAAGGCTGGATGGATTTGATATGTTGTTATGCAAAATTTTCAGTGAATTTGATATAGTACTACTCAAAATGCTGGATAGATTTGATATGGTGCTACACAAAAGTTTGGATGCATTTAAATTGATGCTTCACAAAAGTCTGGATGGACTTGATATGGTGCTACACAAAAGGCTGTATGGATTTGATACATTGCTACCCAAAAGTCTGGATAGATTTGATATTGTGCTACACAAAAGTCTAGATAGATTCAATATAGTGCTACACAGACATCTGGATGGATTTGATATGATGCTTACCAAAGGCCTGGATGGATTTGATATATAATGCTATACAAATTGCTGTATGGATTTCATATGGTGCTACCCAAAAGTTGGGATTTGATATGGTGCTTCACAAAAGACTAGATGGAGTTGATATGTTGCTATGCAAAATTTTCAGTGGATTTGATATGTTGCTATCCAAAATTTTCAATGGATTTGATATGGTACTACACAAAATGCTAGATGGAGTTGATATGGTGCAACACAAAAATCTGAATGGATTTGATATTTTGCTTCACAAGAGGCTGGATGGTTTTGATACGTTGCTACACAAAATGCTGGATGGAGTTGATATGGTGCAACACAAAAATATGAATGGATTTTAATATGGTGCTACAGAAACATCTGGATTCATTTAATATATTGCTACACAAAAGTGTGGATGGATTTAATATTTTGCTAAACAAATTGCTGGATGGATTTGATATGTTTCTATAGAAAAATATGAATGGATTCAATATGGTGCTACACAAATCTCTGGATTGATTAAATATGGTGCTACACAAAAGTCTGGATGGACTTGATATGGTGCTACACAAAATGCTGGATGGATTTGATATGGTGCTACATAGAAATCTGGATGGATTTGATACAGTTCTACCCAAAAGCCTGGATAGATTTGATATTGTGCTACACAAAAGTCTTGATGGATTCAATATGGTGCTACACAAACGTCTGGATGGATTTGATATGATACTTGCCAAAAGCCTGGATGGATTTGACATATGATGCTATACAAAATGCTGTATGGATTTCATATGGTGCTACCCAAAAGTCTGGATGAATTTGATATGGTGCAACATAAAAGGCTGGATGGATTTGATATGGTGCTTCACAAGAGGCTAGATGGAATTGATATGTTGCAACACAAAACTCTGGATGAATTTGATATTGTGCAGCACAAAATCTTGATGGTTTTGTAATGACACTACCCAGAAATCTATATGGATTTGATATCGTGCTACCCAAAATCTATATGAATTTTATTGGTGTTATCCAAAAGTCTGGATGGATTTGATATGGTGCTACTGAAAAGTCTGCCATGACAAAATTCTTCAAACATATCTGTGCATTGAATATTGCGACCACATCTGGTCTGGTGATCCTGTATATGACAGCTTGTATGAAGGACGGTTGTATTCAATAAAAAAATCAAAAATAGCTTTTTTCACTGCAAATTACTCATTATATCATGTCCAAGCCTTTTGCAAAAAATATTTGAAGATCAATTTAAGCTTATATTTTATAACCATACAATGTGATGAGGTAACATAAACCATAGATTTGTCTGTGGAATATCATTACATTATTGTTAAATATTTATAGTGAAATCATTTAAGGTTTTTCCTTTTTACAGGTTTTATTTTTGAAATGGAATAAGTTTATTCAAAATTTCAGGATTTTGCTAAAGTAATCTGAAAACCACAATATAAAAGAGAAGTAACAAAGGGTAAACGAAATAGCTCCAGTGTGTTCAACTTAGCATTGCTACTAAAGTATTCTAAAATGCTGCCAATAACAAAGGAGAAAATGAAAAATACCTACCACACAAATCAAATATACCATCAAAATTTATATTATTTCTATTTATTTGTTATTTAACTAAATACATAATCTGTCAACAATGTTTCCATAAAACTTGATATTTCCTCTAACAAGTAATATTAATGTTATTATTTTACTTAAGTGCAAGGTAGTTCTACATTTATAATTCCTAATGTCTAACCATGAAAGAAAATGTTGATCAAAACTCACTAAAAGTTTTAAGTTCTTATTGCCGCAAAATTATCAACTCTCTAATTTCTATGATTATCTTCATGGCAATTTTTCTAATGAACTTTCCTCCTTGGCACCTTGTCTTCATTCATGAGTTTAAGTGTAGTACTAGATTGGCAGATAGGTCTCATCATTTTACTGTTGCATTAGCTAAACTGTACATTCTATTCTAATAGTTTCATTCCTTGAATGTCTCATTTGTGGCACTCACTTCCAGCTTCTTGCTTTCCAGTCAACTTTGACCTTCAAAAAATTAAGTGTAATGCCAATTGTTATCTTTTCTCTTCTTAATTCCTGTTCACTTATTGTTCTCTCTCTCTCCTTAATAATGTTTTTCTTTTTCCCATAATCTTTCACACACAATAACCTCCTTGAGTCTTAGTGGTTTTATTGCCTTGCTTGGGGTGAAATGATTGCAAAAAAAAAAAATTTGAGTAAAAATTGAAGAAGAAAACATTTTTTAAAAACTCAAGCAAATACCAAAAACAAAGCACACAAACAAAGAAATTATAAGAATCTTTTTATTTATTCACACATTTGTTTAAAATCACTTTTATTTCTGCTTTATAAAATTTGATAATTATAAGTCTTTGTGTTGGGAATCTTCATCAGTGATGTTTGTACCTGGTATCATTAGGATATATGGGTGTCATTAGGATGTGTGGGTGTCATTAGGATATATGGGTTGTGTAATAGATAGCAGCTCAGTATGATAAATTATAAAGTTCAAATTCCAACCAAGATTGTTATATTTACTTATTGGCAGATACTGTTGGAAAATGTATGAATCCATTACTTACTCTCCCCTATCTATGGGTTAAATAATAGGACAAATATCTGGAAAAATCATTTTTAATGCAATATTCATTCAAAAAAACAAAAAAAACAAGAACAGTTTTTCTAGCAATCAAAAAGATATGTTTCAGTTTTAACTAACCCCCAAATGGTTGATAAACTATAAAAAAAAACAAATCTAAATACTGGTGTCATTAGAATTTTCAGACCTTTAAGAATTCAGATTCTCTATTTCTCAGGAGACCAAACTTCCTGGTCAGTTTCCTGATTTCGTTTGGTTTAATCTGCGAATTTCAATTCAGATTTGGAACACTTTATACAGATTTGATTATTTTTTAATTCAGCCAATGAAAATTGGTTTTTACATTTGCCAGAATCTCTTTCTGTGTATTTATCATCATTGAATTTTTCCTGCTAATTTTTTTCTACTTTCCTTCTTTCCTGATAAAATAGTATTATCAACAGGTGGCTGCTGCAAAGTTCTCAGCCCAACCTATTTACCAAAATGTGAGTGAATAACCAAAGATCAGAAATTATTTTTAACCATTTCTTGAGTAGCTCAAGAAACTTTCAACAATTTGTGGTATGTAGTAACTCAGAGTAGGGGGCAGTTTCTTGCTTAATAACAATATAAAAGCAACACACATTTTATATCCAATAATGTTTTATATTAATATAACAAGAGTATGGAAAAATTCCACTTCAAAATCTGATCAAATATTTAAGAAAAACATAACATGAAGACAAAAATTAACAAAAGGCTAAATGACTTACCCACTAATATAGTAGTTAAAATTCTACTATCAGTGAACATGTTATACCAATAATAAAAACAGACAATAAAAAATAGAAATGTATTTAGTCTTAAAACTTGTAAGCTTCCTTTAGATATTTTTACTTTTAATGGCTTAAAAATAAGAATTCTTTCTTACATGCAATAATAGATAATTGTTTAGATAACAATCCAAAATTACTTTTGTAGAAACATAGAAATTCAATTTCAGTAATGATAGCAGAATTCCTAGCAAAATTGATTCATTTCCTTTTTAATATATGAAATGTGTTCGGTAACTGCATTCTTTTCAGATGTCATGTTAAGAGTAGATTTTGCATCATCTTCTTTGGTTATTTCTTCAGCAGGTTTTGAAGTATCAGAAACTTGGGAGGAAGCCATAGCATCTGTAGATACGGTAGGAGTGCTTTTAGGAACCGTATCATTAATATTGGTAGAAGTGGATTTTGCATCAACATCAACTTCTGTGGCTTTTGCTTCAGTATCTTTTGAAGTATCAGAAACTGGAGAGGAAGACATAGAATCTGTAGATGGAGTAGGAGTGCTTTTGTCACTATTGGGAAAAATATTGGGAGTGGAATTTTCTAAATCATCATTATCATTTGGGGTAGTGCTAACTGGAGAGACATTATCAGAACTTGAAGAAATCAGTTTCTCCTTAGATTTTGTGTTACGTAACAATGTATTTCGATAGTCAGTAAGTTGTAATTTGTCTTCAGCGTCTAAAGTATCAATCCAAAAATTCTCAAAACTGCTTTGTGCACAATTTAATTTATTTTCCTTATAGATGAGGTCAGCTAGAAATTTCATCCACGGCAGTGTCAATTCCTTATGTCCAAGTTCTTTGAGTGCTAACAAAATTCTTGTGATACGAAGAAAATTGTGATTGTACCTGAAAAATAAAAAAAAGAGTCACTCATGAGAAATGATTTGTTTTTTTCATAAATATTAACTCAATGAAACATTTCACAACTAAAATACCACATATACGCACATATCATGTGACTTTTGAAGATCTAATTTTGAAGACAATTTTAAGGGGGTTGCATCATACATGAGATATAAAATTAGCTTATTGACCAAACTATATATCCATTTATTGTATTCAAATTAGCTTCAAAATTAGGTCTTCAAAGCTCACATGATACACCAGTATATACGGTAACTTAAAGAAATACTTATAAATAATCAAAGGAAGGGATGGTAAAAAGTGGGGGAACAGTTTTGCATTGTTATGTAGAATTAAACACATCCCCCATTTCTAGGCCACAATAGATTCATAAGTAAAATTCCAAAATATACTTAGAGGTAATCAAATGAAAGGATGATAAAAAAGGGGGATCAATTTTTTATTGTTCTTTAGTATTAAGTTCATCCCCCATTTCTTGGCCACAGTATATGCTATCCATTTCTATAATCTAGACACAATTTAAGTAACTTCCAATAAATATTCTCATAGTTTGGTTTGTTATATATACTGTACATACTCTCGTATCATGTGAGATTTGATGACCTAATTTTGAAGCTAATTTTTAGGAGGTTGCATCATGCATGAGATTAAAATTAGCTTATGTATTGCTGGCCCTGGCTGCACCATTGACTAAACTATATATCCATTTATTGTAGTTAAATTAGCTTCAAAATTAGGTCTTTAATGCTCACAAGATACATGAGTATATATGGTATATCAAAGTTAGTTAATCTTTTTAACATTATTAATTTACAGGTGTTGCCTGTCAAGAGATCATGCATTAATGTTTAAATATGATAGATTTGAGAATACACTTTGAAACAATAAGCATGATGTCCATGGATGCAAAGGCAAAAAGTTGAATATATGATTATTTACATTATTTATACATTGACTATTTTCCTCATCTTTGTAATTATTACCACCTGTTTGCGTTCTGCCTGAATGTTCCACTGATAGAAAATTTAATCACTGTTTGCAAAAGAGACCTCCTTCAATATTTGCTAATGTTCAACTTGGAATATATCCACGTTCAAAAGTTAAAAGATAACATAATATTACCATAATTTAACACTTTATTCAATCTAGAAATGTGATCATCTTCAACTGGACCAACAATCTTTGCACCTAGTGATGCAACAGCTGTAATATGATGTTATTTTTCAACTTTGAAAGGTGGATATGTCGAACTTTAGCAAATATTGAAGCAGATCACTTTTGTAAACAGTTTTTAAATTTTCTATCAGTGGTGCATTCTGCTAAAAAATTGAATGAACCCCAAAATATATCCTTGATAATGAGCAATCCTCTCACATAAACATAACCAATTTTACACACACAAAGATACACACACATATATATGTATAAGCAAAGATTGCATTTCACACAACAAAAAAAGGTTGACTTGGGTATTGTTGAAAATAATACCTTTAAAACCACACAGTCTTTTGACAAAGCTTTAATTCCTAATAAATCAAAGTAACATTCTGTCTCTACTCTTTTCCGAAATAGTGTTCATCATCAATTTTGTTCTCAAGCTCCTTTCAAGTAGATACTATCTCCATGAAACTCAGAGTAAAGACAATTAAGTTCAATATTTACTTTTTATTTTTGTTCTCTCTCTCTATCATGTTGGAGGAGAGGTAAAGTTTATAATAAAAATGATGATGTGCTATAGTGTTGTTTTAATGTTTAAATGTGATAGTTTTAAAGATTCACTCTGAAACAATAAGGGCCATTTCTAATTGGACCGGCGATCTTTACACCGAGAGATGCAAAGGAACAAAACTGAATTCTGCATTATGATGATTCACTCTGAAACAATAAGGACCATTTCCAATTGGACCAGCAATTGTCACCAGAACAGAACAATTGAAATTTCTACTAAAATTGCCAATTCCTAATAATATGCATTCCCTAAAATGAGCTATGGGCATGTTTGCACATTACTCCCAGTGGAGTGCTTCTTTTTCAAACAAAAGACAAAACTTATTAAGATCTACAAAGGACAGGAAGATGTGGAGGGCCCTGATCGCCTACATTCTAAAGGTATATAGCACATAAAAGTAGAAGAAGATTAAATAAAGGATTCAGTTTGAAATTGAAGCTTATTACCAACAAAGAGTTTTCCTCATTCTTCCGCAGCAATGCAGACTTTTAAAAATATTAAAAAGGATACAGTCAACTCGACAGTGACAGCTATAGACCCGCTATAGATATATATGATTTGGTTTTCTCAAAGCCTTGTGCTTTTAACTAATATAATCACTAATCTTCCCAAAATTGAAATTAGAGAGTTTTCGTACAATTAGTGGGGAGGGTAATACATATGAAAAAAAATATTCTGCCATGACTTAAATAAAAAAAACATTTATAATAAGTTCCATCATTTGTGAATAGTTTCTGAAAGTTTCATTAAAATCTAACAATTATTTTTATTTTTGCAAGATTTTCCAAATTAATGTGTGTCATACAGAAAAAACATGCTAAAATTTTATGTTATTTTACTAGTTCCGGTGATACAAAGAGAAACAAGTTTTTTTTTAATCAAAGTTTAGAATGTTCTAAAAAGAAGGAAAAATTTTAAAAAATAATAAAATAAACTTTGATCTTTCCTCTCAATAATAAGATTAGCATTTAGACGCAAAAAGTTTGTTTTTGTCAAGTTTGGTGTCTTTTTCATCCTGCTATGCTCTGTTTTTAGCAATCTCATGAAGGTACCTGTGTTATTGGCATGAAGCATCTTACAAAGACCTGGATCTTGACCATTTGCAGAGAGGCCTGTATCGAGACATGCCAAGCTATCCTGCTGCTAATGGGGAAAATCCAGATGGAGGTATTGTTGGCACACATGTCTGCACATGATCAGGAGTCTCTTTTATGTCTATATGAATGTACATGCGCCACATCTCATTTACAGTTTAAATTGCTAGATGTAACCAGAAGTTCTATGCTAACATTTTCTTCTCTTGCACTTCTCATTTATGGAACTCTTTTCTGACTTCTTAATTTCTAGTCAACTTTGATCTTCAAAAATTTGAATGCAATGTGAATCATTATCTTCTGTCTTCTTAATTCCTATTATTTTATTGTGCTCTCTCTTTAATAATGTTTTTCTTTTTCACATATTCTTTCACACTTAGTAACCACCTTTGCATCTTAGTGGCTTTATTGCCTTACTCAGGGTGAAATAATTAAAACTTTATGCCCTTAATCCAGTTCATTTTATTCCAAAGTTTCCAGTAACGAAAATTTTAATCCTAACAACACTAGTATACACTTGAAATCCAGTCCTTTCATTCCTAAAGTTCTGATAAAAGAATTACCCTCCATTATACCAAATAACCACAATACAAATAACACATTCTTTACATTCAGACTAATGCCTTCATTTTTTTTGTTGTTATTCCAATATTTTTATCATTGTATACCCTCTAGTCTTCCTCAGGTGTCTACCAATTAAAGTAAACTTCAAGGAATTTCAAACTGAATCCTTTATTTAATCTTCTTCTACTTTTATGTGCTGTATACCTTCAGGGTATAGGCGATCATGGCCCTCCACATCTTCCTGTTCTTTGTAGATCTTAATAAGTTTTGTCTCTTTATTTCACCCAAACCCTGTTCTGCCATACATTTGCTCAAGCCCATCAACTATGTCATGCATTGCTTTCCCCTGTCTCTCTTTCCCTCTATTTGTGAGTATCAGATTTTCCAAGCCTTCCTTCCTCATTATGTGTCACGGAAATTTCAACTGCTTCTTCCTGATGTTAAGTATAAGTTTCCTTTTGTTTCCATTCTCTCCAAAACCTTGTCATTGTTGACATGTTTGGCCCATAGTATTGTTAGTGTTATTTAATCTGCAGGGGTAAATTATTCTCATTCCACTGTTCATGGCTAGGGATACCTTGACTTGTTCCTATTTAGTATTGCTTTATTACTGTTTACCCTGTTCCCACAAAGTGAAGTCTGAGTTTCTACTACTTAGCTCAGGGACTGAATTCACAATTGTGATGACACTAAGCAATCTTAAACATAAAACATGGAGCCTTAAACCTAATTTTTTTTTTCTATACTGCCTGCTGCTTCCAGATTGCATTCACTAAGGTTTCTCTTTTTTATTGTGGTTGCTTCTATTGAGGCTTTGCTGTCATTCCACTTTATTTATTTTTTAATGGTGACCATATTGTATTTATTTCTATGCCAGGTCTACTAAGTAGGCTCTCACATTCAAGCATAGACAGTTATTCTTTCATAAAGCTGGCTCTCCATTGTTCTTAGTCTACTGTAACTGAGCAGTACTAAATAAAAATAAGGTAAGATATCCTTAGACATGGACAGTGAAATGATAACAATTTACCTTGTAGATTAAATAATGGGATTAAGTTCTAAAATTAAGGCTAACTGGATCAACAAATACCTGAAAGCCAGATGGCACAACAGATGAAACATTGGAATAATGTCAAAAAGGAGGCGGACGACTTAGATTGAATGTAAATAATGACAACTCAGAAATTCAAATAAAAATTAAAGGCTAGACTTTCATTCTGGATATTTACTTACATAATTTCTTGAATCCAGGGCTCATACTTTAATTCTAACTTCCACTTCAAACTTACCTTTTGTTAAGTTCGGCAAGTCTTTCTTCAGAGTTTTCTGCAAGTTTAAATTCATTATTCTTTGTGAGTTCCATGCCATAAAAATCTAGCATCATTTCAAAAGCTGCCTTCACTTTTCCTCTCAGATCGTCTGAAGTACGAATAATCTACAAGAAAGTAAAAAAAGCAAAAAAAAAACGTGAGGGAATATTTTTATTTCATTAAAGTAATTATAAATAATCTCTCTCTCTCTCTCCCTCTGTCATGTCCCTTTAGGATATGGAAGATCATGACTCTCCACAACATCAAGTCTTATATGTAGCAGAATTAACAATTCAGTGGATTCTACCACTACATGTACTCACTAGATGTAGTGGTACCAATCCAATGACTTTTAATTCTGCTACTTGCCTGAAGATACATTGTGGTTGAAGCCTGGCTAGTAAAAATGATTGCATTTAGTGATTTTGAATATATATATATATATATATATATATATATATATATATATATATGTGTGGATGTATCTACAAATCATCCTGGGCTTAATATATATATATATATATATATATATATATATATATATATATATATATATATATTTAAATGAAAAGATTTCTTAACTTCTGAATATCAATTTTATCCAGACTTCAAAATTTCTTCGTAAAAATTCTAGTCTTCAGAAGTTCTGGTTTTAAATGGTATTTCCAATTTATTTTAATCCTCTGTCTGGCAGGATCCACCTTGCTTTGTGCAAGATTAGTCCTGCTCTTGCTGCAACAAAAACATATGGCTATGTATATATTGTTTTTTGAATCAAGTTCACTCCAGGAAATGCATTAAAGCCACAAAGAGACAAGGCATTACTGGATTTGAAAGAATTTAGAAAACAGAAACATTATTAAGGAGTGAGAACAAAAGAAGAGTAATCAGGAGGACAGTAGATATCGATTGACATTGCATCTAAATATTTAAAGATTAAAGTTGACTGGCAAACATGGAGCCATAATAGAGTTTCACAAGCAAGATGTACGAGAAAAGAAACTGTTAGCATAGAACTTACAATTACATCGAGCCAACGCAACTGTAAATTGGTGAGAACTTGTTTTCAGTCTAGTATTGCACTTGAATTCATAAAGTCTAGGTACCATAGCAAAGAGCAATATTTATTTCTGCTATGTACAGAAAATGTGGCACAAGGCCAAAATGGTGAATGGGGAAAAAGAACGGTCTTCATCTGTCTTAACATTAAACTTAGTTGGACACAAACACTGAACCAAACATACCACAATATTCCTAACACCAAAACAACACATTCTTACTTAACTTTCTTACTACATCCACCATAATACCTCATTGTCTCTATGAAAATCCTAACTAGTCCCCATATGTACAATTCATTATCTGTGAGGGGAGGGGAATAAAACAACAATAGCAAAAAGCTCATCTGAATAGTTCCTATAAAAGTATTTATAGAAAAGGTAAAAGGAAGCAACTTTACGGCAGTCAAAAGGGGCTCAAATGGAAATGCCAGATCAGGGCCAATAATATTGCTGATTCTTCTTGGGATTTTATCAAGGATCTTTAGATATATAGCAGGTGCACCAGACCATATATGTGGTAGTAACATTCTAAGCATGCACAAATGGTAGACATAGATGTGTAAGATAGATTCTGGAGAGAAAAACTGTCTAGCATGACACAGTGAAACAACTTTCTTAGCAAATGACCTAGCAATATAGTCTTTCCATTTCATGTCAGCCTGAGAAGGTGCAATATGTCACTTTGCTGGAGGTTAGCATCAGCCTTTCTGATGGAAGGCAGAAAGGTGTCTCTTACATAACTAATAAAAAGCAGTAGAGTTTTCGGAGGCATTAAAATTAACAAGCCAAAATTTTACCCAGTTAAAAATAGACTAAAAGGTTGTTTTTGACATCAGTTGCCAATTTGACCTTATTGGACTGATCAGACTTACTATTGAGACTTGTATGAAGAACTGCGGCATACCACCCTAAACCTGCCAGATCGGGGTGGGGATATGATGAAAAGAGGTGGCCATTCACACTTGGCATTTCATCTGCTGCTACAGATGTCCGTTTAAAGCCTTAAGGAAATTCATTTAGAGAGGATTCCAAAGCAAATATTTCACAAGTTGGGCTGGGGGAAGATGACGTTTGACTGATATAGCACTGATTGTATGTAGATGTAGAGGATTTTTGTTATTTTTTTGGTAAATACTGTTAATTTTTCCAAGATATAAAAGTTTCAAACCTCTGCTTCTTTATCGGTAAGGGCACAGGCCAATGAGTTCATTCCCATGTCTCGGTTCGGAAAGAGCCTGTGAGAAAATTTAAATAAGAAATCATTTTCATTAGTTGTATCATTAAGTCAAACAAATGTGGTGTTTTTAGACAAATAAAATTTCAAATCATATGAAAATTTGTGAGTTTTTTTAATATACTTTTTTCATTGCAACTTCTAACATCACAAAGCAAATCAATATATAAAATTAAAGAGTGAATACAGCATGGATGAGAACATCTAACCCAGAGGTAAGCAAGCATGGGATATATCAACTACACCAGTGTTTTGATGCCTGAAAAGCAAGATAAAAAAAAACATACATTGTCTAGTATTCTTATGACTAGCAGTAAAATATCAAGTAGATAGTAAATGATTTTATATAAGTCTGAAATGTCTGGGGTTCTTAGGACTAGCATTAATATACCAAATGGAGAGTAAATGATTTTATATGAATCTGAAATGTCTGGGGTTCTTAGGACTAAAAGTCCAACTGCAGTGTAAATGATTTTATATGAGTCCAACTGACAACTGAGGCCAAAGATTGAACATAACTCATTGGGTCAAGTCACAGATCAAAAACTTGGAGAGTTATCAATACAAATTAAGTAAAACTATGATATCGAAATACATAGTATGTAGAATTAGAACAATCTTTTCAGAGTGTGTGGAGCAGCAGATTTTTTAGGTTAAAATTCATTAGATATTCCTCAAGCCATAGCATTTGTCTGAATAAAAAATTTCTTTTTTTCATTTGAGAAGTAGGATGTATTTTTAAAGTTGATCAGTCAATTTAAGTTGTACCTAAATGACAATAGATTAGAGACTTATTTGAAATTAATTATTTAATTAATTTAATTAATTATTTGGAATTCTCCCAAACAAAATCATGTTAAGATAAAACTTGATGTGATTCTGCTTGGTACTCACCATTGAATGTACGAATGGTTATACTCTAACTCATCATAGTCTTCACGCCAATTCAGTATTTCTTCAATATGTTCATCTGAAAACAAAAGAAATTAACAGTTAAGGTAGAACAATAATTAAGAAAATAAAATAAAAGTTCAACTTAAAATGGAAAAAATTTAAAGCAAATTTTGATTTTTTAAATTAAACACTGATTAAAATATAATATTTATTAGATATATAATTAATATTTGATTGACAAATTTATCACAAACCAGGATGGAGCACTAATTTTAAATTAGAGACATGTAAATGTGAATACAGAAATAAGGTTAAGTTTGATTTATTTGTAGGTTAAAATATACGATAGTGCTGAATCCTTATACCAGTATCATAGCTTAAAATCCTCATTACCAATAATTTTGACAAGTTTATCCCAACTGCATAAATAGCTTTTCTGAAAATGTTGTAAATTTTGAAATACTGAACTTGTTTTACTTTCAAGGGCCCAGAATCAGATATAATTGAGGAGCTGACATTCATGCTACAACTCTTTGGGTCCTGTCACTAGATATAACTAACACCTTTATCCACTGTGCCATGTGTACTTAAGGACAGAACCCAAAGAGTTGTGAGTTCAATACCTGGTTAAGGCAGTGGAGAACTTGGAGAGGTGAATTAACAGGAGATAACTGATAACTGACATCCATTAGACATGGTACGTGGAACTAGAACAGTCTACCCCAGCGAGCGAAATAAAGGGTTCAGTTTAACATTCCAACCATCTGAAGATGATGGTCGGAGCATACAACAGCTGAAATGTTGTGATAAATATGGCAACAAAGATGAGGACAATAGTCTGAATAATGTAAATAGTTCAGCAAAATCTAGTATTAAACTTGGTAAAAGGGTAATGAGAATATCTTCCTAGTTTTAAGGATGATAACCGCAAACGGTAGTTAAAAACTACAATTGTTTGGTTGTTATTTTAGAATGGCTCCATACTTCAAGGAGCCTCCAAACAAGAATAAATACAATGTACTAAAGGGAAATGAAAAGAAGGTACCAAAATACTTTTACCACTTTTATTAAAAAATGTAACAAGGTAAAATGACCATATAACATAACATAAACATCATACTTACAATAGGTGAAGTTTGCACTCTACAAGATTACTACTATTTAAAGTGAGGTGAAGCTGTCAGCTAACATCTAGGAATATCTTTGTTGCCTATGGTGTAAGGCTGGACATTGGTGGCAGCATGTGTTGCTCCAACCTCTTCTCAGGTCCAGACTAAATCCAACTATAGCAAAGGCCCTAATTCATCTCAGTTATCAACTCATTAGGCAGCATTCTATCTAAAATCCTACACAATCTTATAGAAAAATTAAACCAAAATTTTTTTATTTTTTTTAAATGATGAGGAAAAGATTAAATAAAAATAAGAAGCATAACATTTTTTTAAATCATTTCATCTGCAGCAAGGCAATAAAGCCACTAAAACTCAAGCAATTTCTGTTATTGATCATGAAAGAATATAAGAAAAAGATAACATCTTACTTATTATAAAACGCAGATTGTGTGTGTGTGTGTGTGTGTGTGTCTGTACATTCATATATTGGATCAGATTTCCTACATTTTTCAACCGATTTTAACAAAACTCCACAGGACTACGTAAAATTACCTTGCGGTGGTTCTGAGAGCACCAAAAATTGGAAAAAACACAATTGTTTTGGCACGAAATCAATTTGAAAACACGATTAAGAGGCATTAATGAAAGGGGGACAACTCATATCGAGTTATACTTATTAATATCGAGTTATTGAATTATACTTATTATAAAACCCAGGTTGGTTGTTTGTGTGTGTGTGTGTGTGTTTGTGTGTGTGTATGTCTGTTCGTTTATATATGGGATCGGATTCCCTACATTTTTCAACCGATTTCAACAAAACTTCACTTTTTTTGGCAGGTAGTGTTTCTTATTGTCTTGCACACTTTTTTCTTTATTTTTACATTCAGAATGCTTTAAAAATTCCATTTACAAGACAATTGTTTATAATAAAATTCTATTCAACCAGTAGACTCATAACGATTGAAAACAATGTTTTTGTTTGAGTTTGGGTTTGACCAATTCGTAAAAAAACAAAAAAAAACAAAACAAAACAAAAAATAAAACTAATTAAGACATGCATGTCCGTCAATCTTAAACAATAATCTTTGTCAATTTTATTTTTCAGTCTTTATGATGGACGATACTTGATCTCTCTCTTACTGTTACATCCCCGGGCAACGCCGGGCTCTACTGCTAGTTATTAATAAGAGAGAACACTAAAAGAAGAAGAATTAAGACAACAGGGGATAACGATTGACTCTGCATTTCTAAAAGATTCTGAATCATTATGCACAAATACAGTAGGCTTCCTTTCTCAATAGCTTAAATCTACTTTTTCTTTATGTACCTTCAGGACATTAATGATCATTGCTCTCCACAATATCCTGTCCTTTGTAGCTGTTAATAAGTTTTATCTTTTTCTTATCTCTCCTAAATATTGTTCTGACATCCATTTACTCAAGCTTGCTAGATAGGTTATGGGTGGTTTTCCTTTGTCTCTCTTGCCTTCAGTCTGTCCTGTGAGTATCAAATTTTCCAAGCCCTCTTTCCTCATTATGCACCCTAGAAATTTCAATTGTCTCTTTCTGATCTTAAGTATAAGTGTCCTTTCTGTTTCCATTTTCGCAAAAACTTTCTGTTTGCTCACATGGATGGTCCATGGTATTCTCAGCATCCTTCTGTTGCTTCAAGTTTCTTCTTTGTCTGCAAAGAGATTGTTCAGTATTTACTACCATATAGGAGGACTGTTACTGCATAACAGTTGAGTACTCTTTTCTTTGTTTATAATAAAATTTTTCTGTTTCTTAATACTTTGCTCAGCTTTTCAAAGGCATTTTTCACTATCAGAACGTGTCTTTGGATGCATTTATTGTACTTGGTTAAAACACTTTTTTTTTGGTTTTGTTTGATTTTGTTAACTCCAGTTTGTAATTTGCATGTTGATCTTTTCCTTCTGTGAACAACCATGCATTCTATCTTCTTGCAATTGATGCTTAGTCCTTTGTAGTGAACGAGATAATCAAGTACCCCGGAAAAAAGTTCGTGTTTTGTGTGTAGGATCTGCCGGGGAGGGGATTGCTAAAAGTAGTCAGCAAAACTCTTATAGCGACTTACCTCGTCAACCCAAGCGAAAAAAAAAAAACAAGTCCGTCCCAGGAGTCCCTATAAGAGTGTATTAATATGCAAATTACGGAGCATCCTATCCCGGCTGTCGACGAATGGAAAAAATAGGTTCTGCCGATAAAAAGCAGTTGGTGTTGTCGACTCGGGAGGAAAAAATTCAGGCAGTTTTGGCTACGGCGTTCGTGAGTTATTTTCCTGACGTGTTACAAGTGAATTTTCTTTCTTTGTGTTGTGAAAGCCACAAATTTGCTTTGAGAACGCTTACTCTTCAAGCTATTTCGGCGTTTATTTTGTCTCTCGCAAGATGGCGGAAAGACCGTTCGATATAAAACTGATCCCCGAATTCAGTGGTGATACTAGTGGACAGTCTGTGGTTGAATGGATCGAAAAGGTGGAACTGGTCTGCGAATTATGCGAGATATCGAAGATTGATCGGATTCTTCCTCTGCGATTGAATGGCGGTGCCCTTGCTGTGTATAGGCAGCTGAGTAAAGAACAGAAAAGTGACATTGAGCAAATAAAGCACGCTCTACTAACCGCGTTTGGAACTGACCGGTTCGTGGCCTACGACCAATTCCAGGCACGGCGTCTGCGACCTGGCGAGACAGTAGACGTATATTTGGCAGAATTAAAGAAGCTCGCCGTTCCAATCGCACCGCTTCCTGAAGAATGGATGACATGTACCTTCGTTTCTGGATTGCCCAGTCATGTTAAGCAGATACTCCGCGCATCATCCAGAATGGAAGACCTGACGCTCAATCAATTGTTGACCAGAGCCCGTGCTGTCATGATCGACGAAAAAGAAGCTGATGAACCAGTGGCCGCAGTTATTCAACCAATTGAAGTCAAAGAAGGTCCGACCCCAGCCATTCGTCACCATGGCGTTGCCAACTGCTATCGGTGCTCTGGGCCGAATCATTTTGCCAGAGACTGCCGCTATCAACGCGAAGAAATGCGCAGCGGGTCGGCGCGAAAGGCACGTCTCGATCAACGATGCTTTCAATGTCAGAAAGTAGGTCATATTGCCTCTAAGTGCCCGGGAAATGGAATGGGGGAACGCGACGTCAGCGCCGGTCTCTTCCCCGCACCGAGCATGAAAGTGGCGCTCCCTGTGATTAAGGTACGCATCAATGGAATAACGCGTACCGCGTTAATAGATTCGGGCTGCTCTCGGTCACTCACCAACGGTTCGATTTGCCGACAGTGGAGCAGACAAAAGATGGACGTACTAACGGCTGATGGAAAGGCTCTCAGAAGCCGGGGAGTTGGAAACATCAAACTCGGTATTAACAACGGTGACCCTGTCACAGTCAATGTGTTGGTCGTGGACAGCGCGTTATTAGGTTTCGATCTGCTCCTTGGGATGGACATTATTAAGGAGCTGGGCGGCGTACGCATTACAGAGGCAGGCGAAGTCAAGTTTTCTGATCCGCCCATCTGTGCTACTTTGAAGATCAACGAGGCCGACTTTAGCGCAGAGTTCGACCAAGGACGAAGACATGGACAGCATTTTGGAAATGGTCGGAAAATAACCCACCAGAAAAGCTCCAGAACCGAGTGTCAGAATATTCGGTGCCCGAACGCGTCAAGGAAGAATACCAGCGCGAATTGCAGGTGTGGCTGGATAACGGATGGCTGACTCCGTATCCCGAGGAAGAGCTTGGTCCTCCAAGAAGCCTCATCCTGTTGATGGCCGTGGTACAAAAGAACAAGGGAAAGGTGCGCCCTGTACTAGATTATAGAGAACTGAACGAACATGTAGACACATACACAGCTCATGCTGATGTGTGTGCACAAAAATTGAGAGAATGGCGAACAAAGGGATCCAATGTCTCTGTGATTGACCTTCGAAAGGCCTACTTGCAGGTACGCGTGCACCGGTCACTGTGGCCATTTCAGACGGTGATTCTTAATGGGACGAGGTACTGCTTAACCCGAATGGGATTCGGACTCAATGTGGCGCCGGCCATCATGAAAGCCATCGTGGATGCTGTGCTATCCCAGGATGAGACAATTCGTCAAGCGACGTCAGCCTACATTGACGACATCTACATCAAGGAAACCTTAGTACCCGCTTCACAGGTGATAAAGCATCTTGCTGACTTTGGGCTCGAATGTAAAAACCCAGAACGACTGGAGGATGGTGCTCGGGTGCTCGGCTTGCAGGTCTGGGGGGAGCACAACATGCTTTACTGGAAACGTGGAAGCGAGCTCCCGGACATTCCCAAACACATGACCCGACGCAGCGTGTTTTCGTTATGTGGAAAGCTGGTGGGACATTTTCCCGTGGGCGGGTGGATCCGCATTGCAACTGCATTTATTAAACGTAGGGTGACTGCTGTCACTTCCGGCTGGGATGACACAACAAATGATGCCCCCCTTAGACACATGATAGCGGAAGTCATTACTAGGGTGCGTCAAGACGACCCCGTACGTGGTAAATGGTGCGTTGACGGATGTGAATTTAACGTCTGGGTCGACGCGAGCTCCCTTGCAACAGGAGTGTCTCTTGAAGTAGGTGACACTGTCGTGGAAGATGCGTGTTGGTTGCGTCCCGAGAAGGATACGCAACATATCAACCTGTCGGAATTAGACGCCGTTATCAGGGCGGCCCTTCAATGGAATGCAAAGGTGTTGCATTTATTCACGGATTCCGCATGCGTGTATAAGTGGATATCAGACACTCTTACGGGGAAGGCTAGGATACGTACAAAGGCTGCGAGCGAGATGCTCATTCGAAGGAGGCTAGACACACTGGGAAAATTGGTAAGTGAATACCACTTATCCGTAGACATACAGCTGGTCAGATCACAGCAGAACAAGGCCGATACTTTAACAAGGGTACTCAAAAAATGGCTTGACGCTATAAAGAAAGAGGTAGAGCGGGTAGAACATGTCTGTGTAACATCAACGAGCAACTATAACTCAGATTTACTAAAATCTGTGCATTGCCAAAGCGGACATCCCGGTGTAAAACGGACCTTATATTTCGTGAGGCAGATTTATCCCTCCGTATCCAAAGCTGCTGTCAGGGCAGTGGTCAGAGGATGCAAGGAGTGTCAGTCCATCGACCCAGCACCTGTGCAATGGCAAAAGGACAAGTGAGTGTAAGCAAGGTGTGGCACCATGTTGGAATGGACATCACCCATTATAACGGACATCACTATTTAACCCTGATTGATTGTGGCCCAACCCGGTTCACTATTTGGCGGCGTCTGCGTCGACAGGATTCCGCAAGCGTCATTGACCACTTGGGGTCATTGTTCTTTGAACGTGGACCTCCGACGGAACTCCTCACTGACAACGACACTGCATTCCGCAGTGAACTATTCAAAGATTTTGTGGCTTCGTGGGGAGTACACCTCAGATTTCGCTGCGCGTATGTCCCATCAGGAATGGCATAATCGAGCGATGTCATCGGAGCATCAAAAGAATCGCTGCTAGGAAGCAGTGTTCCATAATGGAGGCGGTGTATTGGTACAATGTTACCCGAGAGACAATAATGTATCGCCCTCAACTGCGCCAGCCAACATGATTTATCAGTACAAAGTCCGGCTACGAGGCATTGACGCAACGCGTTCAACTGAACGGATAAACGAACGAGCGCCGTATGACTTGGGCGATCGCGTGTGGGTGAAATCTCCACATAGCCGGTGTACAACCCGGTACCGGGTGGGGCATGTCACTGGACTAAGTAACTCGCGTTCTGTGCTGGTTGATGGCATACCAAGACACATAAAGGACTTGCGTCACTATGTAGGTACAGATACGTCAACAAGTGACACTAGCAGTGAGTGCTCAGAAAGTGAACAAATAATTACCATCGGAGGTAGGGCTAGCACCCCTTCAGATGGTGAAGACTCTGTGCGTGAGGTTGTCAGACCAGAAGAATCCTCAGAAGAAGAATCTTCAGAACATTCTTCAGATGATGAAGACTCTGCGCATGAGGTTGTCAGATCAGAAGAAACCTCAGAATATAACACACAATCCCCTCCAACAGTCGGAGAAGCTTAAGAATAAAGAGGCCCGCCCATGAGTGTCACTTATGTGACAGCGGGGAGTGTAGTGAACGAGATAATCAAGTACCCCGGAAAAAAGTTCGTGTTTTGTGTGCGATCTGCCGGGGAGGGATTGCTAAAAAGTAGTCAGCAAAACTCTTATAGCGACTTACCTCGTCAACCCAAGCGAAAAAGAAACAAGTCCGTCCCAGGAGTCGCTATAAGAGTGTATTAATATGCAAATTACGGAGCATCCTATCCCGGCTGTCGACGAATGGAAGGAGTAGGTTCTGCCGATGGGGGCAGTTGGTGTGTTGTCGACTCGGGAGGAAAATTCGGGCAGTTTTGGCTACGGCGTTCGTGAGTTATTTTCCTGACGTGTTACAAGTGAATTTTCTTTCTTTGTGTTGTGAAAGCCACAAATTTGCTTTGAGAACGCTTACTCTTCATCCTTTCTTCCCACTTTCCTTCACTACTTTCTGTCAGAGTTCCTGTAGTTTCCTTTCTTCAACTGTCATCAACGCTGCATCATCTGCATATCTTATTTTGTTTAGATTGTGACAGCAAATAATTAATCCTGGTTAGGCTTCCAATTCTTTTAGAATCGCCTAAATGTATCGGTTGAATAAGTCCAATGAGATGACATGTACTCATCATAAACTCCTTTCTATTTATGTATATTTACTCAATACTTTTTTCTATCTGTATGCAGATGGTTCACTGCCAATATAGGTTTTGAATTATTCTAATATTCTTCCAAAATATAGCAAGCTTACCTGGCAGTTCCACCAGTTAAATAGTAACTGATAAAAAGAAACCATTTTTGAAATGGAGGACTTACTATTTGGTTTAGCTGGAATTTTATTCTTGTAGAAGAGGACATTTGGTGGGGATTCAGGAGCTATAAATAAGCAAAAAAGAAAAATAAAGAAAAAATATAAAAAAATATCAACCGAATTTCATATTTTGTAAAAACAGTATATATATTTTTATAAGCTACAATTTTAATATGCAATCCCACTTGAACTATCCCAATCCTTAGTGTGGCATTCATTCATTTCAAGAGACCATGAATCTGTGTCCAAAGAGTTATACCTCAGCTGCTGATGACAGTGTAGCATCCATTATGGCTGTACAGGCTCACATGAAAGTGACAGTTTCAACTGAAACAAATAAATTTGAATATGTTCTTCCCCAATGTCGCCATGTTTTCTTTACATCGAGCATGCTTCTCCCTGGTGGCAAGCCTCTGTTTCTCACTTTAGTCCACAGTGTAAATCACATCTCTAGTGTGAGTGATCATTGGTGACACCTTCCCACTTCTCAGGTCCATTGAAGTTATGTGCTTTTGCAGATGTCCTTGAAGTGAATATGTGCCCTCTTGCCAGTAGCCAGTTCCCTGTACAGAAGGACTTTTGAAATCCTCCCATCCAGTAAATGGTGTACATGTCCACGCCAGCAGAGCTGGTGCTTTTGGAGAAGGGTGTAGAGGCTGGGTAAATGGGCAAGGGTGAGATCTATGGCACTGATGACCCAGTCAAATCAATTGATGCACAGAATGTGTCTCAGACAGCAAAGATGAAAGGCACTGAGGTGTCTCTACTGTCGGGAGTAGAAGCTCGTAGTCTTGTTGCCATAGAATAGTGTGCTAATGACACATGACCTATAGATACAAATCATCATCTGGCATATGGTGTACATGTCAGACTGTCTTCTAAAACATTTTTTATTATTTATTAAAAAAGTTTATTGCGACAATGGAAGCTCAGTTCACGAATTTAATTCGTTCCTGAAGGCTGTTCATAACTAGAAATCTTTGTAAACTGAAACTATTTTTCCAATAGGAAACGATATAGAGAAAAAGTCACAGTACAATAAAATTAGAAAAGAAAAACATGCCACAATACATGGATGTATACAACATGACTCAGAAATTATTCACTTCAGGTTAACTTGTTTCGGCAATGCTGATTGAGAACTAAAATTTTGTTCAATAACAAGGCATTTTCATCTCAAATTTTCTGTTCGAAAACAGATTTGTTCGACATGTGAGACGTTCGAGAACCGAAGTTGCTGTGTACTTTGAAACCATAACTTTGTCTTCTTTTTATTCATGCATATTTTAAGAGTCTTCTTGATTTTGTAAATTTAATTTTAACATTTTTGTTTCACACTCGAGGAGGCACCATACCTTGAAACACTGTTGATGATATAGCATTGCTGGGTGGGAAGTTTCATTGACTGAAGTCAACAGGTGGAGGTCCCTCCCTCTGGATAGAATCAAAGGACATGTAACTGTGACCAAAACAAGTGTTCAAGCTGGAGGACATCAATTGTGGTTTGACACAGGGAGGGATGGGCTCCGCCAAATGAATATCTCTTCAGCTTTCAACCTAGATATGTGTTATGATGTTAATTTGGGGTTAATAAAGACAAACGCCAAATAACACGTAACAAATAAAAGGGGTTTATTCGATTGGTAAGTAGGTACAGAAATCACCCGAGTAGTCTATAACTAGCTCAGCCAAGAACTTCTCCCACTCTGTCTGTCTTTTGACATGCCACTATTTAACGTCTTTGTAAACAAGTTCATCTTCAAGAGGGGTGGTAGGTTTCCTACACAACAATATGTGATGAGAACAGCCAGGTGCCCAGCTATGTTGTGACCCTACAATCACACCTGGTCCTAGGAATAATAATGAGGATGATATTATTTGTGGAAAAGGAATATAATTTATTTGGCTTCACATATAAATGATTGTCAATGCCATCTCAGATGTATGTCTCCACTAGAAAATATTACAAAAATAAGTAAAATAAGTAGAAAAAAATGTTGACTTACATTTTACTTGTGAACTGCTGAAATCGGTTGTTTTTTCTGTACTCATCGTCGTTTGATTTTCGTTTCTATTCTCTTTAGCTGCAAATGAAAATCTTGTTTTCAAAGTTGCTTTAACTTTGTGAATTCTCAACAGTCAACTTTCTTAATAGTCAACTTTCAGCACTAACTGGAGTTTGATTTCAAATGTTCTGTTTTTTAAAACCGATTACTTTAACATTCTTCAATTGTGTCAAGTACAATCTTATTTGACTCTATAGTTTCATTTTCAAATAATTTTCGGCGAAAATAGAAGTTTTATAAATTTTATTTTTGTTTGTTTCACTTTCTCGCTGATTCATTATCACAATTCCTTGAATGAAAGCATCATTACTTCTTAATAAAGTACTTTTATTTTATTCAATAATACTCAATTTTCTTAAAAACACAGGAAAATATAAAAAGTAAAATTTCATTACTATGTCCTAAGGAGTAATTATTAGTAAAAAATTTTGGAAATCGCTTTGTCTTTAAAAAAAGCACCCAAGTTTTTAAACTTGTTTTTACGGGAAGAGTTGCTTCCCTTTAAACGTCGACTATTCATTACATTTTGAATCAATTAAGTATTTGTTTACAGTTTATTTTATTCTTTTTCATTTAATTCTTTTCTGAACATGAGGCCTTAGCATTATTTACACTCGGACTATTGTCCTCATCTTTGTTGTTATTGTCACAATGACTCGCTCATGCTAGGCTTCGGCTTTCCTTGGGTATTTGTCAATTCGAGTAACATTCCAGGGAATTTCAAACTGAACAATTTAACGTGAACAAATTGTTCTCGTGTCAAACGGAGATATTGTCTTGTTTTTGCTAGTAGATTAATAAAGCGTTGGTTTGTGGATTTGATGACCTGGTGAGACTCAGTGGAAACAGGACAAGCAAAAGAACAAAAAAAGTAAAACGATATCCCTAGATATGGACAGAAAAACAAAAATAATCTGTCCCTACTGTAGATTAAATTAAAAGAAAGGTTTCAATTCAGAAATTCCCTAAAGGCTACCTAATCGACAAGCACATAATGAAAATATATATTCTATTACAATAAGAATCAAAATGTTTTAAAATAGCAACAAAAACCGGGGATAATGCCAATGGTGTCTTTTTTTCATTTCTTAATTGTAAGTTAAAAAAAAAGAAGTTAATCAAAAATAAAGATATAGTTCTTTTTTCTAGGAAGAGCGATACACAAATTTACGTTAAAATTAATTAAACTTACATCTGAAACTACATTTATTGTGCATTGCAACTTAGAATTATTACCGAAGTTTTTCTTATTTTTTAAAGTGTTTTTTTTTTAAACATTTCCTAAATTCGAAACTAAACTAAATTATGCTTTCTTTTCTTCAAATTGATTTCTTTCATTATCCAAAATGAAACTAATTTATTCATTTCTTTTTTTACGATTATAAAATCAGGTTGTTAGAATCTTCTGGGTATTTTTTGAAGCAAAGTTTTTATTCAAATAATATTCAACTGCATTTTAAAAAAATTGAAGTTAAACGAATCTATTGAAGACTTTTTCATTCAATTTATATTCATAATCACCATTGACATTTAAATTAAATGAGTGAGGGAAATGAGTGGTGGGTAAATTACAGTGACAGCCCCCTCGCTCAAATTCTAATGAAAATTTCCCGAATAGTTCCACTTAAGTGTAAATTTACATTGTAAATTTTACAATGTTTACTTCGAAAGTAACAGTAAAAGTTTGTGAAAATCTGCTGTGTCGTGAAAAGTGTTGTTTTTTTTTTGTTTCTTTTTAGTAAAGCATTTCATAATGAAACTGTAATAATAATGGATTCTTGATTAAATAATAATAAAATAAATTAAATATCTCCAAAATTTAATAAAAAATACAAATGCACTTAAATTTGTTCTTGTTATTATTATTATTTCCTTTCTAGCTTTTTTTTTTCATTTTATCATGCACTTTTTAAATTTTTTGCAGTGTTTGCGTGCGTATTAATCAAGACGAGTGAAGTTTCGCCCCATGACGACTCGAGGTAAAATAAACGTATGTAAACAACGTCAGTAGCCGCGACGCGACTGAGTCCAAAATTTTAGTGTCAATAACTCAAAACGTAGATTTCCGTAAATCTTTACTGTTATTTTTCGAATTAAGCATATAAATTTACACCTAAATGGAACTATTTGGGAATTTCTCATTAAAATTTGAGAGTGGGGCTTACACGGCAAATTAAACCATTTTCGAAATAATCAGGCAATTTCACACCATAACGGAACATTATTTATCATTAGGGTGGGCTTTTGCTGCTTATACTACAAATTAACAAAATATTTTATGTTTATGATGTTCTCTAGGGCACCTCGATGTGGTGTAATGGCTAGCAAGCTTGTCTCGCTAGAAACAATTATGACTGAGTTGTGAGTTCGATCCTCATTGGGTGTCCTATACTTTCGGCCTTGTGCCACATCTGGAAAATCACTATATGATGTTCTCTAGTTTATTATAAAACATGTTCATCTTTCCAACGCCATTACCCAGGCGCACACAAACACACACACATATATAAAGCACGGCACAACACAGCGGTTGACTCAGAATTTATACCTTTCAGGTTTAACTCGGTTTGGCAATTTCGTTCGGTAATCGCGGCATTTTCATCTCGAAAACCAATTTGTTCGACATGTGAGACGTTCGGGAACCGAGGTTGCTGTGTACTTCGTTTGAAACCATAACTTTGTCTTCTTTTTATTCATGCATATTTTAAGAGTCTTCTTGATTTTGTAAATTTAATTTTAACATTTTTGGTTCACACTCGAGGAGGCACCGTACCTTGAAACACTGTTGATGACATAGCATTGCTGGGTGGGAGGTTTCATTGAGTGAAGTCAACAGGTGGAGGTCCCTTCCTCTGGATAGAATCAAAGGACATGTAACTGTGACCAAAACAAGTGTTCAAGCTGGAGGACATCAATTGTGGTTTGACATAGGGAGGGATGGGCTCCGCCAAATCTACTTGCCCAAGGCACTCTGCACAAATGAATATCTCTCCAGCTTTCAACCTAGATATGTGATAAGAACAGCCAGATGTCTAGCTACGTTGTGACCCTACGATCACACTTGGTCGTAGGAATAATGAGGATGATATTATTAGTAGAAAAGAAATATAATTTATTTGGCTTCATATATAAATAATTGTCAATGCCATCTCAGATGTATGTGCCGGAGTTAGCTCCTCCTCAGCTCCTTAACCTTTCACCAGGGCTATAAATACTGGGTGACCCTGGCTATAAATACTGGCTGACCCTTCGCTTCGATCAATTTTTTTCCTCAGGCTTTCGGCCTTATACCACCTCGCAGATGTGAGCTCTCACAGATACAGCGTTTCCCAAATTCTGGGAACGCGCTAAGAACAATACACGTACGTACGAACACTCACCACAACACACACACACACACATAATATTCACCACACAAACTCTATGTAATTGTCTGTGCTTGTAACTTGTACTTGTTGTTAATACATATATTTGTTTACATAATAATAATGAGGATGATATTAGTAGTAGAAAAGAAATATAATTTATTTGGCTTCACATATAAATAATTGTCAATATCGTCATAGATATATGGCTCCACTAGAAAATATTGCAAAAATAAATAAAATAAGTAGAAAAAAAAATGTTGACTAACGTTTTGTTTGTGAACTGCGGAAATCAGTTGAATTTTCTGTACTCATCGTCGTTTGATCTTCCTTTCTATTCACTTTGGCTGCAAATGAAAATCTTCTTTTCAAGGTTCCTTTAACTTTGTGAATTCTCAACAGTCAACTTTCTCAATAGTCAACTCAAATTTCAGCTTTCAGCACTAACTGGAGTTTGATTTCAAATGTTCTGTATTTTTTTTTACAACCGATTACTTTAACTTTCTTCAAGTGTGTCAAGTACAAACTTATTTGACTCTATAGTTTCATTTTCAAATAATTTTCAGTGGAAAGAGAAGATTTTATTTTTTGTTTCACTTTCTCGCTGATTATTCATTATCGCACTTTTTTGAATGAAAGCATCATTACTTCTCAATAAAGTACTTTTATTTTATTCAATAATACTTCAACGCAGGAAAATATAAAAAGTAACATTTTGTTACTATGTCCTAAGGAGTAATTATTAATAAAAAAATTTTGGAAATTGCTTTGTCTTTAAAAAAAGCACCCAAGTTTTTAAACTTGTTTTTACGGGAAGAGTTGCTTCCCTTTAAACGTCGACTATTCATTACATTCTGAATCAATTAAAAGAAGTATTTGTTTACAGTTTATTTTATTCTTTTTCATTTAATTCTTTTCTGAACATGAGGCGTTTGCATTATTTACACTCGGACTATTGTCCTCATCTTTGTTGTTATTGACACAATGACTCGCACATGCTAGGCTTCGGCTTTCTTTGGGTATTCGTCAATTCGGGTAACATTCCAGGGAATTTCAAACTGAACAATTTATTTAATTAACGTGAACAAATTGTTCTCGTGTCAAACGGACGGAGATATTGTCTTGTTTTTGCTAGTAGATTAATAAAGCGTTGGTTTGTGGATTTGATGACCTGGTGAGACTCAGTGGAAACAGGACAAGCAAAAGAACAAAAAAAGTAAAACGATATCCCTAGATATGGACAGAAAAACAAAAATAATCTGTCCCTACTGTAGATTAAATTAAAGAAAGGTTTCAATTCGAAATTCCCTAAAGGCTACCCTAATCGACAAGCACATAATGAAAGCACCTACATTACAATAAGAATCAAAATGTTTTAAAATAGCAACAAAAACCGGGGATAATGCCAATGGTGTCTTTTTCATTTCTTAATTGTAAGTTAAAAAAAAGAAGTTAATCAAAAATAAAGATATAGTTCTTTTTTCTAGGAAGAGCGATACACAAATTTACGTTAAAATTAATTAAACTTACATCTGAAACTACATTTATTGTGCATTGCAACTTAGAATTATTACCGAAGTTTTTCTTATTTTTTAAAGTGTTTTTTTTTTAAACATTTCCTAAATTCGAAACTAAACTAAATTATGCTTTCTTTTCTTCAAATTGATTTCTTTCATTATCCAAAATGAAACTAATTTATTCATTTCTTTTTTTACGATTATAAAATCAGGTTGTTAGAATCTTCTGGGTATTTTTTTACCCACAAAGCAAAGTTTTATTCAAATAATATTCAACTGCATTTTAAAAAAACAAAGTTAAACGAATCTATTGAAGACTTTTTCATTCAATTTATATTCATAATCACCATTGACATTTAAAATTAAATGAGTGAGGGAAATGAGTGGTGGGTAAATTACAGTGACAGCCCCTCGCTCAAATTCTAATGAAAATTTCCCGAATAGTTCCATTTAATGTAAATTTACATTGTAAATTTTACAATGTTTACTTCGAAAGTAACAGTAAAAGTTTGTGAAAATCTGCTGTGTCGTGAAAAGTGTTGTTTTTTTTTTGTTTCTTTTTAGTAAAGCATTTCATAATGAAACTGTAATAATAATGGATTCTTGATTAAATAATAATAAAATAAATTAAATATCTCCAAAATTTAATAAAAAATACAAATGCACCTTAAATTTGTTCTTGTTATTATTATTATTTCCTTTCTAGCTTTTTTTTTTTTTCATTTTATCATGCACTTTTAAAATTTTGCGCAGTGTTTGCGTGCGTATTAATCAAGACGAGTGAAGTTTCGCCCCATGACGACTCGAGGTAAAATAAACGTATGTAAACAACGTCAGTAGCCGCGACGCGACTGAGTCCAAAATTTTAGTGTCAATAACTCCAAAACGTAGATTTCCGTAAATCTTTACTGTTATTTTCGAATTAAGCATATAAATTTACACCTAAATGGAACTATTTGGGAATTTCTCATTAAAATTTGAGAGTGGGGCTTACACGGCAAATTAAACCATTTTCGAAATAATCAGGCAATTTCACACCATAACGGAACATTATTTATCATTAGGGTGGGCTTTTGCTGCTTATACTACAAATTAACAAAATATTTTATGTTTATGATGTTCTCTAGGGCACCTCGATGTGGTGTAATGGCTAGCAAGCTTGTCTCGCTAGAAACAATTATGACTGAGTTGTGAGTTCGATCCTCATTGGGTGTCCTATACTTTCATTCCTTGTGCCACATCTGGAAAATCACTATATGATGTTCTCTAGTTTATTATAAAACATGTTCATCTTTCCAACGCCATTACCCAGGCGCACACAAACACACACACATATATAAAGCACGGCACAACACAGCGGTTGACTCAGAATTTATACCTTTCAGGTTTAACTCGGTTTGGCAATTTCGTTCGGTAATCGCGGCATTTTCATCTCGAAAACCAATTTGTTCGACATGTGAGACGTTCGGGAACCGAGGTTGCTGTGTACTTCGTTTGAAACCATAACTTTGTCTTCTTTTTATTCATGCATATTTTAAGAGTCTTCTTGATTTTGTAAATTTAATTTTAACATTTTTGGTTCACACTCGAGGAGGCACCGTACCTTGAAACACTGTTGATGTTTAGCATTGCTGGGTGGGAGGTTTCATTGCTCGTGAAAAGTCAACAGGTGGAGGTCCCTTCCTCTGGATAGAATCAAAATTCATGTAACTGTGACCAAAACAAGTGTTCTTCTGGAGGACATCAATTGTGGTTTGACATAGGGAGGAATGGCTCCGAATAAATCTATTCTGCCCAAGGCACTCTGCACAAATGAATATCTCCCAGCTTTCAACCTAGATATGTGATGAGAACAGCCAAATGCCTAAGCTACGTTGTGACCCTACGATCACACTTGGTCGTAGGAATAATGAGGATGATATTATTAGTAGAAAAGAAATATAATTTATTTGGCTTCATATATAAATAATTTTCAATGCCATCTCAGATGTATGTGTCGGAGTTAGCTCCTCCTCAGCTCCTTAACCTTTCACCAGGGCTATAAATACTGGGTGACCCTGGCTATAAATACTGGCTGACCCTTCGCTTCGATCTTTTTTTTCCTCAGGTCTTCGGCCTCATACCACCTCGCAGATGTGAGCTCTCACAGATACAGCGTTTCCCAAATTCTGGGAACACGCTAAGAACAATACACGTACGTACGAACACTCACCACAACACACACACATAATATACACCACACAAACTCTATGTAATTGTCTGTGATTGTAAATTGTACTTGTTGTTAATACATATATTTGTTTTTATCGGTCTTACTCTTGTTTGTTTTCTTTGTCTTCTTTGGACTTAATTAAAGTCCAACTTTCTCATTTAGTTGGACCGGCTAGCAGGAAATTTTAACTCACGTTTATTCTTCTACATACTCATCCCCCAACGGTCCGCTATATATGGCTCCACTAGAAAATATTGCAAAAATAAATAAAATAAGTAGAAAAAAAAATGTTGACTTACATTTTGCTTGTGAACTGCTGAAATCAGTTGTTTTTTCTGTACTCATCGTCGTTTGATTTTCCTTTCTATTCTCTTTGGCTGCAAATGAAAATCTTGTTTTCAAAGTTGCTTTACTTTGTGAATTCTCAACAGTCAACTTTCTTAATAGTCAACTCAACTTTCAGATTTCAGCACTAACTGGAGTTTGATTTCAAATGTTCTGTTTTTTAAAACCGATTACTTTAACTTTCTTCAATTGTGTCAAGTACAAACTTATTTGACTCTATAGTTTCATTTTCAAATAATTTTCGGCGAAAATAGAAGATTTTATAAATTTTATTTTTGTTTCACTTTCTCGCTGATTATTCATTATTGCACTTCCTTGAATGAAGGCATCATTACTTCTCAATAAAGTACTTTTATTTTATTCAATAATACTCAATTTTCTTAAAAACACAGGAAAATATAAAAAGTAAAATTTCATTACTATGTCCTAAGGAGTAATTATTAATAAAAAAAATTTTGGAAATCGCTTTATGTGTTTAAAAAAGTACGAAAGTTTTAAAACTTAATTTTTACGAGAAGAGTTGCTTCCCTTTAACCGTCGACTATTCACATTCTGAATCAATTTAGAAATATTTATTTTGTTCTTTTTCATTTAATTCTTTTCTGAACATGAGGCGTTGGCATTATTTACACTCGGACAACTGTTCTCATCTTTGTTGTTATTATCACAATGTCGCTCATTGTTGGCTTCCGCCTTCCTTGGGTTTTTGTTAATTCGGGTAACATTCCAGGGAATTTCAAACTGAATACAAATACTTTATTAAAATTAACTGAACATGAAGAAATTATTCTCGCTCCGAAAGAAGATATTGTCTTCTTTCTGCCGAGGATAATGGTTTCTTTTTTTTCATTCTATATTAGTTTTGAAAAAAAAAAAAGAAAAGTTAATCAAAATAATAAACATACAGTACTTTTTTTTTGTAGAAAGAGCGATACACAAAATTAAATTTAAGAGTAAAACTTTTAAAATTAATTAAACTTGAACCTAGAACTACATTTATTGTCCATTGCAACTTAGAATTACTAAAAATTTTCATTTTTTGTTAATTTATTTTTAATGTTTCCTAAATTCGAAACTAAAACTAAATGCTTCCTTTTCTACAAATTGTTTCTTTCGTTATCCAAAAAAATGAAACTAATTTTTATTCATTTCCTTTTTTACGATTTTAAAATCAAGTTTCAATCTTCAGCATGTTTTATTGAAACGAAGTTTTTCATTCAAATAATGTTCAACTGCATTTAAAAAAGATTGAAGTTAAACGAATTTTTATTTATTGAAGAGTTTTTTTGTTGTTTTTTTTTTTTTCATTCAATTTATTCACAATTACCATTTGGATTAGTCAAAGAGGAAAAATGTGGTTTGTCCCGTTTCTTTTTGGTATTTTGGTGGCAACAATTTTAATATGGACCCTTCGTTTATTTGGCCATAAGGTAATCCTTATCAATGTTTTTATTTTTGTTGTTTGTTTTTGTTTTTTTTAAATATTTTTCTTGTTTTTTTTTTTCTTGTTTTTCACATTGAAGAAGAATTGCGACTTTTATAACAGAAACAGTCAGATTAGGTTCGTTAGGTTGATTGATTTTTTACATGTCAGACCTTTGTTGGATTATTTAATGTCTAATTTTGTATAGGTCACACAGTGATGACCGAACTCACTCTCCAGCAGTAATGTCGCCGATGTCTATAAAGAAATACATAAATAAAAAAAAAATAGTTATACTGCTACTGCGTCGTGTCCATAAAAGTTAATTATAGTGCGAATTATAACAATTTGAATTAATTATCATTAATTCACTGTTTCTGAAAATGTGAGAAATTCTTTCAATTTAAGCTCCTGTTGGCTGATTTGTAACGACCAATTTCATTGGTCGAATTTTTATTTTTGTTTTTCGCCAAAACTATTTCAATTTTTTTTGCCCTTTTTGAGTTGAGTTGCGGCAAATTATTGGAAATGTCCGGACTCATTTTTGAGTCACTTTTTTTTTTTTTTTCGCCCAAAATCAAACCCTAAATAATTATTGCAATGCTTCTTCTTCAGCAAACAAAATGGTAATGCTTCAGAGACAACGTTATGTCCCAATTATCTTAATACTTTCAAGGCTGTATAATTCTGTCATTTATTGACTTTCGTCAAATGTGTAGGTTCTATTCAGAACTTTATGCATGATCTCGACAATAGCTGAGTTTCAACTTCAGCAACCGAAATTGTAATGCTCCAGCAATGACCAGCAAATTCCAATTGAGTCCTACTAAAGTAAAAGACACTACCTATTCTTTGAATAACTAACCCACCCCTATTCATAAGGGGCAAAAAGGGCTAAATCTTTTTTGCAAGGATACAATAAAATTTGTTTTAAGTTTTAAGGTAGGCCTTGTTGATTGTATGTCTTTCTTGTCTCTGCCAAGGGTTGAACTGTGTGAGAAGAAATTCTCACAAATGAGAATTGACCCCACTTTTCTCACCTAACACTAAACAGTAAAAACCAGACTTTAAGTTGTTCTTTACCCGAAGCCAAGTTGCCTTGAAACAATTACTGATCACTCTCAGTTTTATATCCGTTCAGACATTAAGTTGGGGTTGGGTACCGAACGCAGTTTTATTATTATTATTATTATTATTATCACCTTTTTATTTTTAGAAAGTCTTATATATTTTTTTTTTTTTGGTAATTCTATGTTTTACATTTGAATTTCTGGGATGAGGAGTTACTATTTACAGTTGAGCTTATATCTTCATCTTTGTTATTAATATCACAACATTTTTTAATGTTTCTGTCTATTTTTCTGAGATGAGGTATTGTAACTTTACACTCTTTACGTTGTTTGGACTTGTCATCTTTATTGTCATATTCACCTTCAACTTCTGTCTATATTTCTGAGATGATGTATTGTAACTATTTACACTGTTTACATTGTTTGGTCTGTTGTCCTCATGTTTGTCATATTCACAACATTTCAACCATTGTACGGCCTTCTTCAGGTGAACAAGAACTTGGAGAGTTGAGTTACTAAAGGGAAATAACTGAAACTGAGATATCCAGAAAAGGCATGGCATGTGAAACTAGAACAATCTACTCCAAGGGACTAAATAAAGGGTTTGGTTCAAAATTCCAATGTATATAACCTGAAGAAGGTTGGAGCATACAACAGCCAAAATGTCAGGAATATGACAAAGATGAGGACAACAGTTCAAGCAATATAGATAATGTAAATATATTGGATGTTGTACTCCCCAGCCTATTGATTTGAGTAAACTTCAGAGAATTTCAAATTGAACATGTTATTTATATAGAATATAAATAACAATCTATATGGTAGATTGTTCTTGTTCTGTTGTCCATGTCTAGGGATATCTCATTTTGTTCTTTTTAGTACAGGAAAATAAGATGCTGGAAGAGTGTTCTACAAGTCAGAAGTGCAAGAGGAAAACTGTTGTCATGAACCTTATAGTTATATCTAGCTATTTCAGCAATACAATGATGAGACCTAACAGCTAATCTAGTACTGAGGCTAAATTTATGAAGTCAAGGTATCAAAAAAAAAAAAGCACATCAGAACAATTGCCAGGAAAATATTTATGGAAAATGCACAGGAAAGCTGCATTACAGCTGCTGTGAGAAAGTGACTGAAGCTGAGTTGATAGGTCAGGGACAATAACACACACACACACATATATATATATATATATATATATATATATGGTAAGGTAATGAAGGGTTTGGTAGTCTGTGTGGATAATTCCAAAGGGGATGTTATCCAGAGAGCTCAATGTAACACCAGAATAAATATTAATTAAATAATTAAAAAAGACAAATATTCCTACCCTTGACCATAACGTTTTTTCCCCAGAAAATTTTTTTCTTTAAATATTTAATAAACTTTTCTACAAGACTTTTGAATTAATTAATTTTTATATATATATATATATATATATATATATATATATATATATATCCAGGTAAAATGAGAAAAATTAGAGTATAATTCCACTGTACATAACATTTAATATAAAAGAGTGCTCAGAGTAGAGCTAAATATTCATTTTAAGAATTATATATATAAATGTGTGAATAATGATAACAGATTTTGTGTTTTTCAAAAAGAAAAAAAATATTTCACTTTTAAGACAAACAGGCATTGTACTTAAAGTGCTCAGTATTATGAGATAGGTTATGCATGCAGAAATAAATAAATATATATATATATATATATATATATATATATATATATATATATATATATATATATATATACAAAAAAAAACAAAAATTACCTAAACATGGGATAGTCTATTTCAAGCCACTCTGTACTGTAAGTGTCGGTCTCGAAGCATTGTTTTAAATTTATTTTCAATGTCAGTCCACCTCTTGTAGATGCCCTGTTAATGAGAATGGGCTTGAGTTAGCGACTGGTGTGGAGGCGTAAGGTATCTTATTGTGGGGGAAGTGATCTGGGCTTGTTTATTTATGCCTAGAACCTTTCGTTGTTTGTAGTTTAATATCAGTTACTACTATGTGGCGATTCTTATACAGGCCCTGAGTATGTTTTTCTGATATTCACAGTAAATAGTTTTTGTAATACAGGTGCCCAATATTAATAAGCGATGGGGGGGTTTAAACTTTAACCTGTTTCTTAAGTTTAAATTAGCTCTACTATATATATATATATATATATATATATGGGATTAAGTCAAAATTTGTCACTTAACGGATTTATGTTTTGTTTTTTTTTGTATTTTTTAAAATTGGAATCATCCCAAGCAAGGCAGTAATGTAACTAAAACAGAAGGGGTTAGAGGGTGTGAAAGAATTAGGAACAGAAACATTAATGATGAGCTGGAAGAGAAAAGAGTAATAAGGTGAACAGTAGATAGCGACAGACATTGCATTTAAATTTTTGCAGTTGGCTGGAAAGCATGGAGTTGGAAGGTAGTTCCACAAGTGAGAAGTGCAAGAGAAGAAACTATTTTCATAGAATTTATGGCTGCATCTAGCCAGTACATTAACAGTAAATTGATGAGATCTTGCCTCCAGTCTAGTGCTGCACTTAAATTCAAAAAGTCTGTTAGATATCATAGCAAAAGAAGAATTAGAATAAAATTATTTAAAATTTGTGTGTAAATGTATTAGGAAATTGGTCTGTGTGTGTGTGTGTGTGTGTGATTGAATATTGTTTCATTTCCACAGTTTTCGTCCACATTTGATTAATTTTTTTTACATCTAGCCATAAGTAATTAAAATCAGTGAGGGTTTTGAGTCAAATTGGCTGGAAAAATTTAAACCATGAAGGTGAAAAATTGAAAAAAACTGATTTTTTACAACAATTACCATGAAAAAAATCAAAGGCAAAATTTAATGTCTGTAAAAAAAAAATAATACATGCCAATTTAGAGAGTTAAAATCTAATTCAAAAGATTATTAGAATTATTTCTGAAAAAATTATATTATAAATAAAAATTATTGTATATTATTATTATGATGGTCCATGGAAGAGGTTCCTTCATCTGCAAGATTGAGAATGCAAAATGCCCTTTTTTCAAAATCCACATTCAAATTGTTATCCATCCATTTGGGGATGTGCCTCAAATGCATCCAAATGTTGTTACTAATATTGATTTTCTTGAAAGTTGACTTTAAACTTAAATTAAATTTTTTTAATTGAACAACAAAAATAAGGCAGTAATGAAAGGCTATGGAAAACAGGTTATACTGGAAGAATTTATATATGTTATAAAGATGGTCAAACTCTTTTCTAGGATGTCAAAGATAAATTTTGAAAACTAGTTGGCTGTTGGAAAAATTGTGTTGGTGATTATGGATTGAATTTACTTACAAAGAGACAGCAAAATAAAACAAAAGAAAAGATTTATTTGACATCATTTTTCTAAATTGACTTTACATCATCATAGTGTGTCATTTCCAACACAAGCATTGAAGTCCCCCATCACATAAACAAACATCACGAAAAACATCCTCCTTAAAATTCAGGAATTTATGAAGTAAAAAAATTCAAAAATGAAAATGGTAAAGAGATAAAAAGAATGTAAAATGAGAGAAAGATTCTTAAGAATAGATAAGAAAAAAGACAAAAAGCCTGTCAGAAATACCAATGAATAAGTGATTGCAGTCCTGATATTCCTATTTCTGATAGCAAACCTATGCCACATTCTCTTTTGCAGATTCTTAAGAGAAAAGAAGAAGGTTAAATGAGGGAGTTGCCCTCTGTCTGGAAATCTGGTTTCTGATAGAGAAACAATACTGAAAAAAAATGAAATGTATTTGCGTTGAAAAACTCCATCCAGCTATTGATCAAAGAAGCACTAAGAGGAGTTTAAAGCGGTCAGGGAACTTGTGAAGGGAAAAAAAAAGAATGGGAAGATCAAAACAATATAGCTCATACAGGTGGGAAGTGAATATAAGTTAGGGAGATG